CATATTATTCTACAAAATATCAAATATTTATGTAGAAATATCTGCTCTTATTGTGTCTAATAAAATCCAAACTTAGAAACATTGCCTAAAATGGTACCTATCTTGACAAATAATTTGCACCTGCCTATATTACGGACTTTGGCACACTGAATTAGTAACATTATTGAAAATAACACGACATTTTGGCTGTAAAATATGGTAAGCAGCTACTGTCATGACAGAAAGGTCATATTCATTTTAAACTAGATCACATAATCCTTTGACTGGGACGGGTGGCGTCGTCCTGTAATCCAGCTACTAGGAGGTCACGAATTGTGGATATTTATAGGAATGCACTGTGGATGCGATACTCCCTGGTGTGGATTAACGTCCGCACGAGTGAGTACTACGACTACCCGCAGTGCTATCCTGATAATTATACCAATTCATAAATACCAATGCAAAAAAAATTTGGTTCCAATTCAACTATAAACTGTAGATCCCTTGGTTGCCATTCGTTGTATGGGCTATTAATTAACAGCTGTATCTAAGGAATGTCGGCCTTAGTAACTAACAAGACTTCAAGATCGCGCCACTCTTCCTACACTCATCTCCATTCATACTTGGCTTACCTACTATGAATGGTCGCCATAAAAAAACGTATTAAAGGATTAAAGTATTCATTATATACGTTGATTAACAATATGTAAACGTCAATATATACGTAACAGCCATTTTACAGTATTTTTGCTTTTTGGAAATGTTCAATTGCTATGTCATTTGCATTATTTATTGCCAATGAAGCCGCCAAGATCATATGAACTAGGAGGCCCCTAACAGTTCAAGAATAAAAGCCAACTTTACTTCATGTATTCCACTACACCTAACATTCCGTAGAGAGATATTGACAACTTTATGTTATTGATAAGGCCGAGGCCGAGACAACTAACTGACATCCCCCATGTCAAGGAATTCCAGCTTTATCAGTAACCCCACAGTCAATTTCTCAAAACTATGCTAGAGGGTTCATTCATTGGCACAGAAGTACGATATGAACTGACGCGACGTGACGAAGGAAAATCAAACTTACACTGTAACGGATATACCTCCCTTTGAAGAACGTGTCTTCTCAACAAACATATATTTTTTCTCAAACACTGATGAAATCACGGAAGTGTTTAGCTACAAAAGATCCACCAATACGATTTAAATACTATTTAAAGGTTCTACCAAAGGAAGAGATACCATATAACATACTAATAATAACTCCGATGACGTACAGGATAGGAAATATTTTAATCATTGAATGAACAACCAAATTTGGCAACTAACGCAATATTGTTATTGTTTTTACACTTACTCTTTGAACAATGTTAAATGCTCAAAATATGTATATTTCACCCAATTCATCGCAGTTAGATGAATTAACGTAAGCCTTGAAAGTAACCGTCGATTTCGACGGGTTTCCCCTAGTCTGAAATAATCTTGGTACAAATAAATATTGTATCGACACATATACATAATCAATACTACCACGAATCATATAAGGTTTAGTATAAAAAGATACAATATTGATAACACTTGAGGAATTATTAGAATTTAAAGCAAACCTTGCGCGCACTGCTGTGGATGCTAGCTTGCAGCTGTTTTAACTTGTTTTGCTAAACAAACATAGCTACGACTAAGCTTATGTTAGCAGATGTTTAATCTCACCAACGAAACGAGATTGATATTTTAACCAAACAAGGAGAAAATGATCTGAATTACTTTTAATTTACCTTAAGGTCGTGGTTTTACCGCGGGATGAAGGGCCAAAATCTACAATGCTACAATAACATCTCTTGCTTGTAAAACTGTAAACATACATTGACCTACTGTTTTTGTTTTTGTTTTGACAAATAAATATTTTAAATAGTTATAAACACAACCATGTGTTACTTTTAAATACAGTTGGTTAGGAGATTGAACACTAACTTTACGCGATCGTTGCGTAAACCATTATAACCAACTAGCTGGCCCGACAGACGTCGTCCTGTATATGTCAAATGCTCATTCATTTTCAAGATGAGCTCGTTCGTATCGCTCAATCACGTCCCGGTTGAAGTTCGTTTGCTACGCTTACTCACCTTTAGGTTGGAGCTCGATTGCTGCGCTCGCTTGCCTTCAGATTAGCTCGTTCGCTACGCTAACTCGCCTCCAGGTTGAAGTTCGTTTGCTACGCTCACTCACCTTTTGGTTGCAAATTAGCTGTTGTCATAAATATAAAAAAACAATAGTGCTGCACCCTGTTGGTAAACCTATTAACTTTTTAATGCTATTGAACATCACACAATCAAATTGTTTAGTTGAACCAGCTGTTAAGATTCTTTAATTCCATTTAAATATGAGTACTCATAAGGTTAACATGGAAAACTCCAGAGCCAATGGGGCGGAGCCCTTTTGACGGATCTGCACCAAACTTCACACAAACCATCCTTGGTTAATGCTTAATAAAGCCTGAAAGTTGCATTAAGTACAATCTGTCGAGTGGTTTCGGAGTCCATAACGTATATACATACATAGTTCCTCTTTTATAGATATAGATAGATTGAATTATAAAAAAATCTTAAAGAACGGATTTTATTATAAAACTTCTATTGCAGAACAAAAAGTAATCAAATAAAATATTACAGTAGGAAGATACTAAAACCTTTATGTGAAAAAGTTTGACTTCAATTTATACAATATAAATCACATATTTTAATATAATTGTCTGTAAGTAGTAACTAAAAATAGAAGTTTACACAACGATATTGTTAACGACACGAGTAGAAATTTAAGGTACGAGTCTTGGCGAGTTTTTTTAATTCCTAATAATCACTAGACATAACTTCTAAGAGAGGTTATGTTTTGGTTTATAACCTCGCATTGCCACTAACAGCGATGCAACGACTCATTGTACCAATGATCATCAACAATTGAATTGGCAAACAGCTGATTAGTTGAAGTTCGAATCATCACAATTTTACATATTCTCTCTCAATCCTTTAACCTCATAGTTCACTTAACCGTGTTGTTATGAGTAAAACTATGCTGTCATGAAAGTAAACAATGCTGTTATGTGAAACTTTTCAATTATTCTAATAACTGAACTGAAACGGATACTTAAAAAATTGTCGTATGTTAAAGAATTAACATTAATATATACACAAATGCATTTTCTTGAGAAAATATCTATAATCGTTTGATATTTTAGACTGAAAAGTTGTAAGATGCGAGCAGAATTCATTTGACGACGAAATGTCCTTGGCTATTAAATATTAAGTGCGGTTAGATGGACACTATATCCTGATAGATTGTTTATGTGGCATTAAATGTTTGATGGGCCATAGAGCTAAACTCGAGTATCGGTTCTTATAAAACCTACTGCGTTCTTCAAAATGGTTATAAAATAAATATAAAATATGAAATATATTTTATTGTTTATTAAATAAACTATTTTGTAACAATTTTTTATGTTGTCAAAGGAAATCTAATTTTTATTAGCAGTTACGTTGTCGAATGGACGAAAAGTAAGTTAAAATTAGCATTCCACTAATGCATATAAGGCTAAAATATAAAGCACTGCAAAAAAATTGGTTTGTCAAAGTGTTTTGGTTCTGTTGTTGGTTACGGAAAAATTAAAAAATGGTAAATTAAAAAATGCCCATTTTATTCTTATGGAGGATAATAAACTGTTGTAGTTTGCTTGTTTATGCATATATTTTGAAAAAATTGGCAAATTTACTTATTTAATACTAATCTATTAATATTTAAAAACACAATTTTACACCCCTTGTAGCAGCAAACCTAGCTTCTCGTTTAACATAATGCTAGTTAAATAGATTTGTGAAAATCAAAGCAGACAAATGGAAATTCGCTTAGTTTGCAAGTTTGCTGCGGCGAGGGTTAAAGTAACACCTACAAGGCTTAAATACAGCCTTGTAGGGGTTAAAGTACCCCTTGTAGCAGCAAACCTAGCTTCTCGTTTAACATAATGCTAGTTAAATAGATTTGTGAAAATCAAAGCAGACAAATGGAAATTCGCTTAGTTTGCAAGTTTGCTGCGGCGAGGGTGTTTATATATATCACTTATTACTTAATTAATCTAAATAGGTTTGTATAGTAGTTATATTCACACTCACGTTAATTTAAATCCACTAAAATAACTACTTAATATTTTGTCATATTAATAACTGATTATTTGCTTTTTCTACACCATAAGATAACTTAATGCAGATGAAACGTTCACCCCAGCCTGTAAATGACGTGACATTCGGTGTTACCCAAGGCGTATAAATGACAAGCGTTAACCCTGGAGCATTGGTTGACGTTCTATCGATAAGAATATCAGTCATGCCAACCCTACAGTAAATATACCAACGCCAGGTTTATAAAAAAATAACATAGATTATCGTACTTTTGTAACTTGGTTAAGCCTTTACTTGTGAATATCAGGTGTAAAACTACAAGTAGAGTGGTTGTAGTGCTCGCCTTCAAATCTGAAGATCACTGGTTTGACTCTTGAAGCGAGATCGTTACCAGATCCAGATGCCATGTGTAATTAATTGAGGTTGATGCTTTCTGACAAAAGGTTGAAGTAAGATTACTATCTTACTTATAAGACCAGGGGTTCGACATTTCCTTCATAAAAAACGTGGAAAATAACAATGGCATAAACAACTCGTAAAATAACACCCCATCTGCAACAATGTCAAACTAACGGCTCATAAATATTACCTGTTAACAATAATACATCGCAAAACACTCGATTAATTAAAATATAGCGGGCGATATAACAATTGTTAGATATATTTATTTGTTATTTGTAAGTGTGATTAAAACCATTGTTAAAACGTAGCTTTTTCCAAAATGGTAGATAATATTGGACTGGGTTTATGGCAAAGAAGAACAGCTTTGTCAGGCTTATGATACAGTTTATTTCTATAAACGTGCAAGATATAATATTTTTTATTTCAAAATATATATCAAACTTTTGGCACAGGTTCATGTGGAAAACTTGTTTAAAAGACTCTTTAAATAAGCCAAGTTTTTGACTAGACTGCACATACCTTTGTTTTCTTCTTACAATATGACATGTAGTATTCGAAGTTATGTTTTTTTTTAAACGGAGTATTTTAAAGGTCTTGACTGTATAATTCTGCAGAATACCTGTTACTGTCAAACTTCCACAGAAAGTTAACAAACAGAATGACAAACATAAATCAGAAAACTTCACGTCAACAAGTCTCCCTAGGTTTTAGTCTTGATTCATCATATAATGCAGATATGTGTTTGATACACTTACCTTATAGATATGAATAATAACTTGTGATTCTCTATATTTGCCGTTCTATTTCAGGTAAACAATTTTATAAACCAATATGAAGTGTCATAAATGTAATATTTGTGTGGACTATAGGGGATGTCCTTTCACAGCATGATTCAATTGCAACTTTAATTGGTGCTGCAAGCGATTTGTTCATAAGCGTACCTTTCAACGTTCAGTAAACGAGTGTTTGTTACTGGAACAAATAATGTGTTATTAAACTGATGAGACCAACCAATAATCTATTGAAAACTTTAGTAAATGAATGATTTATGTTTGAATGACTTTCATGTATAACTTACATAATATTTACCTAAAACATATTAATCTGTCAAAAGTCAGGTCCCATTATACACACTATAATACCGCTTACTAGATTTTTATGAAACAGCCAAAAGCCAATCCCTTTGTTAGTGTTATCATAACTACACGTTAACTACCTTCTTTGCATACTTTTTGTATATAATTTATTTACATTTTTTGAACACTCTGTTCTTGCTTCTCAGAGATTTTCACTTGTAGGTGTCGTGAAGGTATCGTTCCTTGTCGTCGACCACATAGTACGTGTAGACGACGACGTATCCGGACAACAGGAGGGTGTACATGAGAGGAAACAGCATCCTGGAGTATATGTCAATCTTGGAGAACTTGTCAGGAGGTTCTGTCGTAGCAGCGACTTCCTCCTCTGTCGGGAGGATCCTCAAGTTACGCCAGAGGTTGACAGGGATCAGCAACGTGCTGCGAAGGGTGATCCTGGAAGCAAAGGACTGTGCTCACTATTCTGGAGGTGTGATAAAAAAATGCTATGACATCAAGGTGCTCTGGCGTCAATGTTATCTATGGTTAAGGTGCTCTACCGTCAAACTGCTCTGCATAGTGACGTCAAGGAGAGGCCAGCTCAAGTCGTTGGTGGGAGAAGTAGATCGACTATTTTTTACCTCAAAGCACGAAGTCATTGGAGATGTTTTGACCGATCCGTTTAGTTGTATGAAATCAGTGCTGGTAGTCTCAAGTGTAAAATGATTATAAATGTTTTTTCCGGAAATTATGCAATCTAAGTTCAATCATTGCTAAATTACAGTCTTGATATTATCACAGGACAGTAAAGTATAGTGGAAACTTTAAGTGGGCTGGTATCACAGAATGTTACTAAACACCTTCTGCCAATGATCATCTTTCTCAAAGATTCTGTGATTACAAGTAAAAAAAAAACTACTAAGTGTAATAAAACGTCCACAGCGATTTAAAAAGAACACATCTGTTCATCGTATGACTCATGAATTGTTTAGGCTTACTATGTTGGCACCAGAACGACAGGTGTCATCCCCTCCGGTGGGGGTTGTTGGGTATGAATGGCATAAGTCGTACCAATGTCTTATCGTATACTCTGAAAGGTTACTCTGGACTCAATGGATCGTGTTAAAAGAAATTTAGCATTTGGTCCTGGAATCCCCCCAAAAAGACTAATCAAAAACCACTAAATCACACAAGATAATCAACTAAGTATCTTGATTCAATCATTGAGCCGTTGAGATGGAGCTTAGTGGAATACTAAGCATTACTTTAATCACCCCCTTGTAGCATGTCCTAGCGTTATTTTGAGTACTTTACCAGCATTTCTTCGAGGAGTAACATATCACCAATCATTTTGTATGGTACCCAAATGCTAAATCTGATGGCTAAATCTACATCATAACACTGTTAACGTCGTACCTTGCAGCCTGTGGTGATTGGTTCTGGTCCAGTAGGATGTCTATGTGAGTGTCCTGCACAAGGCGTGGTTGGTCGAACCTGTACTCTCCTTTGGTGATGGTCGGCACAGAGAAGCTTCTGGTCACCTTCAGCTTTGCCTCCTGGATAGGGACTGCAAGATGCTCCACCTTCAGGGAGTCCAGGTCTTCGTCACTACTTCCTCCCGCGTCGCCGATGTCGGAGTCCTCCATCTCGTAGGTCATCAGAATCTTGGGTACTGCGATCTCTGGAAGCTTAGTTTCCTCTTCCAGGTCTTTGTCGAGGATTTCTTCTTCGCTTTCTTCAGCGCCTGATTCTTCCTAGAATAATTAGTTGGTTCAATTATGACAGTTATTCAAATAGGTATCTCTTGTTCTAATCTTAAAACTTAACTGTCCACAACCATAGAATACTGATCTGTGTGGTATAAAAAAGTGGTGTATTGTTACCGTAGTCGCATTGGTCATCCAGAAGTAATTGCTATCATTAGACAGTGCGACAGTCACGATTCATCAAAATCTGGATTATTAACTCAAAATAATACGATGAAGCTTACATATTCGGCAAATATTTACATATTTTTTGGCAATATATGATACAAAAGTATCCGAAAGAAAGTTCACAATGAAAGAAAACAAATTACTTGAGTCGCATCAAATGTTTTCCAAGATGAGATATCAAATTAAAATTATATCCCCAATTAAAATTATATCAACAATGCTATTAGGGAAATTATAGCCACAAGCATTCAATAGTGGTACTGGGAAGTAGTTCGGCCGCTTAGAAAACGACCTGCGCGCTAATGCTAAACCAATGCTGGAGGAGGTCGCTTTCTAAGCGGCCGAACTATAGTAGAGCGTGAGACTTCGGCCCCTGAGGTCCTGGGTTCAGATCCCGCCCAATCACCAATGGCTTTTTCTAAGTGATAATGCCGCAAACTCGAGTTCTAGTCTGAAGTAATGTGAAAAACCATCCCGGACTTAAGCCTAGCTTCCTGGGGTAAAAACGTTCAGTACTAAACTAACTACAGTTGATCATAACTTTGTTTGTTGACCTCAATGTGCATATTTAGTTGCTTTCATGTTCATTCAAGCTTATTCTAGATTTGCCACACAAAATGATCACCTTGAGAGCCTCCTTCAGTTCCTTTAGCTTCTTGCGATCCTCCAACAGTCGCTGGATGTCGACGCGCACCTTGTCTATGAAGTTGATGACCGCGTACTCCACCAGGACGGCGAACACGGTGGCGAAGCAGAGAATGACGAACCAATCCAGAGCTGTGGCGTAGTTCACCTTTGGCAGTGCGGCACGACCCACGAACCCCAACGTTGTGATTGACAGGACTGTTGTGGCCGCTGGAGAAAAATATATTGGAGCTAGTATACTCTGTATGATGGAACCTGTCTCTTGGCCAACCATCTACATGGGACTGGGGACCATGGTGTAAGGCTCGGACCAGTCCCAGGTAGACGAAGGGTCAGGGTTCCATCATACAGACTACCATTGTCTTTGGATACCAGTGTAATTTTCCATCCATAGACCAGATGTTTATTCTAAGATGATTTTTTGCATACATGTGTTAGGGTTTGCTACTGGATGTATTTTTGTTGCCTTCTGTGTTGGACCGTCACGTTGAGCTGTATTTGTCCTGTTTTGAAATGTTGCAGATCTCCATTAGGTAAAGATGCAGTAGTGAAAGTACTAAACAAAGTACGCTTTAACATTCAAGGTTTCAAAGTTAGTGGTCAAAACAGGTTATGGATAAGCTTGTGTAGTGGGGTTTCTACTGGATCTGATCTGATGATGTAGAAGTGCAGCGTCTCCGAGACTTCAAATACAGTTCGCTGACACTGTTAACATAGACGACGAGTATACATTCTATGAGAACAGTTGTGGAGGTTTTCCCCCAACTCGGTCTGCTACTGTCAAAATTCCTCTATTCTCCCTAGAAGATTCTATAGTTTATCAGTTGTTGTATTTTCTTTTTGGCACCATCGAAAAAATTGTGTACAACCCAGGAGAATCTGTTTTACTTTGTCTTTGGTTCGGTTCAAATACGTTTTTATATGAAAAACTGGCTGCAGCATTGACAGTGGTATTATTTATGACCAAAATAGAATTAATAGTAATTAAGGAAACCAATGAGAGGTTTTCCTACCTAACGTGACTCTACCAGGAACATCATCCGGGTTAATCCAGAAAGAGACGAAGGAGCAGCAGACGATGAGACAACAAGGGACGTACATCTGGAGGACATAGTAGCCGATGCTACGACGGAGTAGGAAGTTTGCCTTGATCATGGAGAACTCTCCTGAAGCATAAATATCGTTATTTGACAAAAAAAAAACGTTCTGGTGTATTTTACTATGACAATTTTGATTATGAAATCGGGTGTATCAATTATGTTAAAGGTGTGGGATGGGTGAAAAATTTCTTTACGCACGAAACAAGCTAATAATTCACTCTTCTTCACCTTATGCACCCTAATGTGGAGGCGTCACAAAATCTAATATAATCTACCCCGTGTGATGTTGTGACCCTTTTAGTGATAAGGCTTTGACTGAGTAAAGTGTAAAACGGTCACGGTCCCGGGCTGGAGCCTAGCATCCTAGGATGTGAAGGTAGAAAAGAAAATCCCATTGTTAAGAAAAACTACAGGTTAGATTTTCTATAATAGATAGCCCTAAGCATTAAATTCTTTTTACAATTCAAAACTGGCGGAGGTTTGTGATGCCGTACCTACAGGAAGATGTCCGTTAGGCAATCCTAAACTAACATGGTATGACCAAGCCAAGAAGGATGTGATCCAGTGCGGAGGTTTGCGGAGGTTAAATCTGGATATCAGAGGATAGAGCAGAGTGAAGGAGGCTAATCTACGAGGCCTCAGTAGTAAGTAAGTGAGAACGCATTAAACCACTACAAGAAATGTGCTGTGATTATGAAGCTAATGAGGTAATGAAATTCCTCTTTAGGCTATGCCCTTCGTTCAGCAAGGATGCTGGTTCTTAATTCAGTGACCCTAAAAAGGCTGATGATCGATTTTTGTTATAGTGCATTTATTGGACCCAGCTGTTTTTGGGCATTGGACTTCAAATAAATGGTTTTGGCTAAAGAACCAGATGATTTTAGCCAGTAATAAAGCTATCATCTTATCAATTTAACATTTCACTCATGAACCTTATATGTTGCATCCTTATACTGTATAATCTAATCTACTACAACACTGACCTACGTTCCTGATGAACTTGCTGTGAGGCACGACAGTAATGTTGGCCAAGTCGTATTGAGACAACTCCAGTCCAGGCTCTACAGTCAGATCCAACCATTCGTACATCACTTCGTTGGAGCTGTAACCGTCTGTGGATTGATTTGATTACAGTTGCTCAAAGAATGTGATCAAGTAATACTATTGTTTTTTTTATTTAATCTCTACTCCATATATATTCTCCATACTTAACATACTCCATGGCTGAATCGGAGTCCATTAGCATCATGACAAGAGATGATCGGCAAAAAACATAGTTTGAGTTTCGGTTCGATAGTCAGTTATCGTAGTAGGTTGTTTCTTCATGTTTACCTTTTTATTACAATTATCGGTAGTCTGTTCACTTATATCTTTAAACAACCCACATAGACTTTAAAAATTGAATTATTTGATTGGAAAATATTTTCCAACACTATTCTGAGATGACCTGTGAAGTGTTGAATTGATAATATTTTGTATAAAACATTGTTACAGGATTTTTGTATCAACCTACAAAGAGAAAGTATTACAGGTCTTAGGGATAAAGCAATTACTTGTATTTTTTTTTTTTACAACAATTGAATTGATTTCATATTGAACAGAGTGTAAACAGCTTTACTGTTACAGTATTTAATTGTCCACTACATCTCTCAAGAATCAAAGTTTGAGCCGAAAGCATGGTAAAATTTTAACATGAATACTCACAGCTTCCTATAAGCAGAGGGCATCGTTGTGTATCCATGGGAAACTTCCTTAGATGCATCTTGCAGCGTGCTGATATAGTCAGTCTGAATAATTCAATCATGCAATTAGTGATCATTTGCTGTTGGTCCTAATCAAGCTTTTGATTTTCATATCTACATTTAAAAGCAATTATGTTGGTTTTAAATTGTTTTCTCATTAACATCAGTTGAATACCACAACACTGCATCACTATAGTGTGCATTCTAAACGTTTTCTGTTTTAAATGTGTTAACTATTTTATTTGTAAATTTGTCTTTGTGACGTGTTAGATTAATGAAGTGGCTGAATGAAACGCGTTTTGAAATGTTTATCCTTTACATCAAATGAGTTAGAATTGTGGGTCTAATCCGGTGTACATTTGGAAACGGTTATAGCTAAATTCAATTAACAAAATTCGCCACTTAAAGTATCAATCTGTTAAATCAAAAGTTTAAAACACATTTCCATCATATTTAGCTTACTATGTAAAATAATATAATAAGATAATTACTAAATAAAACCGTTTCGAAAAGGAGTTTTAAACAGAGGCAAAACAAACTACCTGTGGGTGAAGTTGGGATGAGGTAAGACAGTACTGATAAAGAATAATATGACAATTTCAGTACTGGGTTTTTTGGCACATTCTAATTTACCTTTCACAAACACACATTACCCTTTCTTACTAACTTAAAATGGTCAGTTCTTCCGCCTTAAATTGGCTGAGAATTTAAATGAAGTGCGTTAAAATGTCTCAGAATTAGCTTAAGTGAGCACTAGCTTACCAGATAATACATCAATAATCAATAGACTGTGTAAAGGTTTATTTGTCAAATGGACTTTATCGAACCTTTATTGAGTTATTTACTATACTTTATATAGTTGTATACTGTATTAAAAGTGATTTTTACCAGACCATTGATTGATTAAACTTACAGTACGTTCTACCAAGTACAATCCAAGGACAGATAATAAGTTTCCTTTACAATTTGAGAACCAATTCGTACAAGGTACGTCCACATCTTCATCCATCTCTTCATATTCGACCATAAAAAGATGTGATGGTAAGTCACCGGATCATCTGCACCGGTGCATCAATACATGTTCCCAGAACGCGTCCAATGCCACATAACCTACATGGATGAACATAGCAAACCCATTTGTAATTGACAGGCTTTAAAACCTGATCTACATGGACAGAAGACCGGTGTCGTAATCACTCTACAGTCGATCCCAACGATTTCACAAAGAAAATATGTATATTTGATAGCTATTCTTAATAATGAATTATATTGTTCAGGATCTTATAACCCTCTTGAACCTAAATATACAATTAGACGTAGCACTGTCATGGCAACTCTGTTATAAAATAAACACGCTATAATTTTGTTAAGTTGGTACCAATAATTGAGGGTATTCATCTCATTGGCTTATGGCTGTACAACCCCACAATCCCCAGTTCAAATGTACTAAGTACAATGAACTCTATCCCGAGGGGAGCGAGCTGGTCTAGTGGTAGAGCGCGGGTCATCGGAGTCCGACGTATCGGGTTCGAATCCCGCCAATGGGTACTAATTGATTTGATCTCTATGTCTGAAGTAATGTGTAAAACAGTTGCGGGCTAGAACCTAGCGTCCTAGGATGACTTTTTTAGTTTTTTTTGGTGGGACGACAGTAAATGTATTCTATCCCCTAGTACAAATGGCGGATAACGTCTCGCAATTCTAACATCCAGTGCTTTACCTCATAGAGTACACTATGTAGCCATCCTGTCTGAGTCTGAGGAACTTGTTTGGCGAGGTGATGCGATGCAGATGAGACGTCTTGCCATTCATGAAGTACGTGTCAGGCTTCCACACCTTGTCCAGGAACAGCCAGGACATTGAGAACTCGTGGAGTCCCGGCAAACTGTACTGAAGCCTCGAGTCGTACCAGGTCTGGCGGAAGTAGACATCCATAGTGTACGACTGGGGAGCGTAGAAGGTGTTAGAACTTACAGACACTTTGCACAATCTTTGACTATTGATAGAATACTTTAATACTTTACAATGAAATGGCGACCATACAAAGTAGGTATTTTAAGTCAAGTATGAATGGAGATGAGTGTAGGATGAGTGGCGCGATCTTGTAGTCTTGTTAGTGACTAAGACCGACATTCCATAGACACAGCTGTTAAATAGCCCGTAAAGTTAAAGGCAACTAAGGGACCTAAAGTTTATAGTGGAATCCGAAACACATTTTTGCCTTGGTATATACGAATTGGTCTAATTTTCTGGATAGCACTGCGGATAGTCGCAGTACTCACTCGTGCGGACGTTAATCCACACCAGGGAGTATCGCATCCACTATGCATGCCTATAAATATCCACAATTCGTAGCCTCCTAGTAGCTGGATTACAGGACGACGCCACCCGTCCCAGTTTGTAAGTAGTAGATAATGAAGGACGTAGACGTAGACTTCCATCGTTTGTTCTCACAAGATACACTTGGTTCCTGGGTTGGAAAGTGTCGTCATAAAGGATGCATACTCCCTTTACGGGTACTCTTAATGAAGTATGTTTGATCTATTGTGTCGTGAAGCTATGTTTAGATGCAAAATTACAGTTATCTAGCAGAGAACCGATCCAGTAGTGAAGAAAATAGCAATAAACAGTATCAGCAAATTTACACATACTTTCTCCTTTAGCTTGTCAACAACCCTTATAATAGGTAAGCGGTGGGAGCATATTGCATATAATATTAATAGGGAGGGAAATTGAAATTACCAAACACGTTTGAATTTAACTATTTACGACTCTGTGTGTTTTATAATGTTTTTATATTCCCTAACGTGTGTTGCAAATACATGTTACTCAACATCTACTGTCTGAAACAACGATACAGTACGCCGTAAATCTGTTCATTCATAAAAACAAAAGTTATACGCGTTTCAACGATGAACGGTCAATAACTTCAGACTAAACAAACACGTGTAGTTGAGGCGTAACTCATACGTAACATTCGATATAACCTCACAGCTCATAATCCCGCGACGACGACGGCCCGTTTGTCACTCGAATGGACCAGCTGTTCACAACAAATGGCGGCAAAAACTGGAGAGTTTATTCAGGGAGGAATGGTTAGGCAAGAGGTAAAAATAACGGTCGGTGAATGAAGACGAGACAACATTTTATATTCAAAATAATGTAATAAAATTTGTAAGGTTACCTAGATAATTGTTAAAACAAGTACTTGGTGACCAAGTTTTGCTCTAAAAAATATTACAGCATCTGTAAAAATGCTGGATTACTTTCAACTCCCTATACGAAACATGATTTTTCAAATTCAAAACCCACTAAGTTCTTGGTTATCGTAATTTTCTTATTAAAAATATGCCACGAAATATAAACCATCTTCGTCTGAAAGTTGATTTTAGTTAAACAAAATAGCATAAATGAATGAGAAAGGTGTAACCGTGATTTTAACATATATTTTGGGAAAGATAAATGCTTTGAAGTACATAAATACGTTAGTATTGCATTAATAAACCGACTAGAATTCCCAAAACAAGTTTTTTTTAATTGGAGGTATTTCTTTTTTACTTACAAACTATGCAGATTTACCTGAGCAGTCTCAGATATCGGCCCAAAGCTCTTTATGTGCATGTTAACTGACACCACTATTGGTGGCCCTGTAAACATTATCATCAGTCATAATCATAATTCATCACATACATTATCTATCAGATGACAAAGTCATATAGAACTCACGGGTCTCAGATATCGGCTAGAAGCTCTTGCTTGCATGTAAAAGACACCACTATTGGTGGCCCTGTAAACATTATCATCAGTCATAATCATAATTCATCACATACATTATCTATCAGATGACAAAGTCATATAGAACTCACGGGTCTCAGATATCGGCTAGAAGCTCTTACTTGCATGTAAAAGACACCACTATTGGTGGCCCTGTAAACATTATCATCAGTTATAAGACGTCACATGCGTCATCTATCTGATGACAAGTTTATACTGACAACTCCTAATATAAATAAAGAAGCTTTATTTGGTTCAGCTGAGTTATTTGCCTGGCCTTGGACTATTAGTATAATTATTTATCACTTAATTACGAATACATAACACGTTTACACTACAATACATTTAAAATCTTATGTAAATAAAATAAGTTTTATGAATTTAAAACTACTATTATGTTATGTGAATTTTGAATTGGAATGATTTTATTGAAATGAAAATAATTGTAGCCTGTTACACAAATTGGCTTGTGATACTCGACAATTGTTTTACAAAGGGATCATTTTTATTCTAGGGTGAGGTGTTAAATCTTCATATCCTTAACAAAAAAGACAAACGACAGGTTAACCTAATCAGTGCGAAATCAAATCAAGAATTAAATATTTGTGCATTTGTATTAAGGTGGAAATCGTAATACATAGAAAATAGTTGCTGCTCATTGCGAAAACTATACAAACAAGTCTAGCAGTCTCAATAGGTTGAGGAGTTAAAATGTACTTAAAATCTTCAACCATGCTAAAATATTATATTATGCCGAAATGGTGTTGTCTATAAACGGATTTAAAAAAATAAATTTACAATACCCTTGCATATCTACTACTATAGTATACTGTATAGTATATTGTACGTATACTATAGTTTGTAAGATGAAACCTGACTCCTACATCTACCTGGGACTGTCCCATTAAAAAAACCTGGTTCTTAAAACCATTGGCCAGTCCCCAGAGGAGGGTCAGGAAACACATTCCATCGTACAGACTATTTGTCTATCCCATACCTGAAACCATTGGTCAGCCTCAGGTGGACGGGTAGCCAGGAGACAGGTTCCAGCATACAGACTGTAGTTTCCCTACCTCCCATGTTAGGCCGGATCCTCTTGTCGTATCTGCCGCCAGCCAGGAGGTTGTCCAGGGTGCGAGAGACATTGGCGCTGAAGTCTGTCCCGAACCCTGCCACTGGTCCAGGATACGTAGATAGGAAGCACAGCCACAACCCTACACAAGGGGAGGTGGTAAATGGCTCAGTAGGAGCATCTACTATACAAAATCTATCTATCTATCTATATATATAATTCTGTAAGACCAAATTTTTACCAGAAAATTGTGGACGTCTGGTAAGTCGCAGAAAAGTGGGAGGGGTCTTAAATTAACGGTCTTGACCCCAGGGACTCGGGAGAAATAGCAGAATTCCCATAAAGTTACCAGAAAACGAGATATAATGTAAAATATCCACCATTAGAAATTCATGGGGACTAATAAACGTCTGCATTCTATCAGCTGTTACTTATTTATTTGCAATGTTTACATTTATTCCGAAAGTCTATGTTGGTAAATAATGTTTCAAAATGAATTATGTTTAATTTTTTTGTTTTCCGTTTTTATAATGAGTGAAGTAACTAGACAAGGTAGGGGAAGACCTGCAAGACGCGGAAGAGTGTCCAGGAATTCAACAGACTCGCAAACGAGAACGTCATGTAGAACTAACTGTGAATTAAATCCAGAAGCTGTTTTACAACCTGTCTTTAGAAGAACGCTAGAAAATGAGTTGAGTGTTGTTTCTCACAATCTAATTCCTCTTAAAGTACTTGCATGCATTGTGGCGCATTTCTCTTCGCAGAGGAGGCCGCAAATGGACATTTCAACGCATGTTGCCACAATGGATATGCCACAACCACAAGTAAATGATGAACTAAAAGAACCGTTTTTACACGATTCGAACTTCATAAAAACATAAGGCAATACAACAGTGCAATGGCTTTTGCGTCGCTTTCGGCTACACAAAGAGAATCCGGGAAATGGGCCTTACTGTCTATACTGAATATTCAGGGACAAATTCATAGATATATTTCTGACTTTCAACCTTTACATTTGGTTCTCAAAATGGAAACTATAACAGAATTCGTAAGATTACAAAACAAATTTTCAATTTTAAACTAGAAAAGATGATGTGCAATGTTTGGCTGTATGATTTCAGCTCTGATTCGTCGTTCTCCCGGCTCAGGCCAAACCGTGTGCACGTTTCCATTTGTTAATATATTGTGTTATTGATTTAATAATTATTTTACGATTGTATTTTTCATTGACACATCAGAAGCAACTAATATACGACTCCAACGTAAGGAAAACCAAGATATAAAACAAGAAATACTGTTAATTTTAAGTAACATAAAATTGATAATTTTTAAAAATATTTCGAATATTTGTCTTTTTATATATGGTTTTTTATTGTAGTCTAAATTAGGGGCTATGGCCCCTACAGGCCACTAGTCTTCTATATTATTCATACGCTACATGGAACTTTGTAAACAATAAGGCTTTTAGCGAATTTCCCTTTAGGGAAGTAGGTATTAATGTAGGTCTCATGGTAAGGCCCGAGACCGATTTATATATATATATTATAAATTATTATTTTATAATATATATATTGTAAATATTATTGATATATACATAAATTATATATATGTCCGTCCGGACGATAACTTGAGTAATTTTTATCCGATTTTGATTAAATTTGGTTTGAAGGTGTAAAATAAACTTGAATGAGTTTGCGAACCAGCATGATCGGACAATGGGAACGGGGTTTAACCGGGGGTTTTATGGGGTAAAAATTGGGTTTTCTCATTTTTTACACTCAAAACAAAAAATGTCGTAGTTTCTCTATAGACCTTCTTAAAGAGCTTTGATAAACAAATAAATACGTATATCAAAGTGTTTTTTACGGTTATTGGTTACTAAGAAAACTCAAAAAACTTTTAAATTCCTATGTTATTCTTATTGAGAATATTGTAAAATGTTGTAGTTTGCTAGTTCATGGATATATCTTGATCAAACTTGGCAAATTTATTGATTTTATACTAAGCTATAATTATTTTACTAAAAAATACACTTTTTTAGTTTCCTTGTAGCAGCAAACCTAGGAACTCGTTAAACCTAATGTTGTAAATAGATTAATTGAAAATCAATTCAGGCAAATGGAAATTCGCTTAGACGGCAGGTTTGCTGCGGCGGGGGTATTTCGTTTTAAGATTTAAACCCACATGCCAAAATGTTCGTCTAGGTGTGAAGATTTGCAAACTGACCTTACATTTTTAATCAAGTCCCTTGGGCTATGCCCTAGTGGCTTTTTAAGTTCCCATGTTATCCTTATGAAGAACATATTTGTTTACATTATGATCAACTGGATAACTTAATTGCTGTTAATATTTTAGTTGCAATTTAAGGAAACATGTGCTACAAACATTTACTGAAATGGTTGAAATGAAATTTTTACTATTTGAATTTGGGTTGGCGTAAATATTACAGTGAAAAAGCGAGAAAGCCTGGACAATTTGCTATACTAAAAATAAAATTGAATTAACACTTTGCTGCATTTCTTGATCAATCATTGAAAGAGCCAATTTGCAAACCGTAGAAACATAGGAAAGTCATGGAACACCACCAACTAAAAGAAATAGAAATAATGTTTTTTTTTATTTATTTTTTTATAATCGTTATTATGGACAACCTTATGTGGCTATGAGTGGGAGACATTTGTAGAAAACACAAAAAACAAGATCAGCTTTTGAAAAATGATTGATATTTACAAGAAATGTTGATTATATCGAACTGTTATGTACATGGTGACTATTTCCATAATTTTTGAGTCAGCTCTTTTAAAGTCATCAGAAATTATGACTATTTTCGTTTAAAAATAACTACTGTAATATTTCGCAATTGCTCAAATTCGAGCAACAGGAACGCTATAGTTCGGCCGCTTAGAAAACGACCTGCGCGCTAATGCTAAACATAATGCATATAATGCATGCGCTAATGCTAATGCTAATGCTGGAAGGGGAAAACTATAGAAAATCAAGGACATCGTGTTTTAGTTTAGAACCATTAAAAATCTTCTGACTTTTAAGATTGAACTGGCAACCCTCTGATTGCAAGGCGAGCGCTATATCCACTCAGAAACGTTTAGACAATCATTTACACGCATGTAATTAAATTTAGTAATGAATCAAAATTTTTCGTAACCATATGTACTTAAAATTTGTATACAGAAGATTAGTTTACTTGTGATAATTAGCGTATAGTATCACTTTCAATTTGTGAAAATGATTCCTTAATTACTATTAATGCTTATAGTTAAAATTATTGTTTTTAATATAAGTTTATTTAATATTGATTTGCATAACCTGTATATTTTTATCTATAATTACTAAAAAGTTATATACATTTAATGAATTAGGTCTAAAACTTAAATAAAATATTTGTGGTATTACTAATATAGTCAGATATTTATTACTTTTAAGGAATTTTCACATCATAAACTCAGAAACAGAAACCCCCGTGTTAGTTTTCAGAATGTATCGATCCTCCTACATATTTATCAATAGAAACATCAGTATACATCAATATGCATCAATACATCGGTATTAATTTGAAAACTCCATTAAATATCTAAACATGTAAGGAAATATGTGTCGCTTAAAATACGACAGGATTAAGATATATTTTCAAGATGTTTTGTTTTATAGTTACAATAAAAATATATGATGTTGTTATTCTACCTCGGCATCTTATAGCTTCTCCCTACTATACGACCTCTTTTAAGCCAACACATAACATTTGTAATATTATTGCGAGATCTTAACAATCCAATTCAAATAGTTTTAAACAGAATTTATAGTTTATCGATATGTTTGTTTTTATTGATCCTTTGCGTTCCCAAAGCTACTATTTTGCAATTTAAGTGTTACAGTAATAATTTGACTTTAAATGGAAATTTTATTTGTTGTTTTCTTTAATGATTTAAGTTTTTTTTTTTTTTTTGAGGAATTGGTAGCTGGGTAGGTTACAATTTTTACATGATTACGGTATAATATATCGTTATAACCTCATTTTGATTAAATTTGGCATGAACGTGTATGGCTGGATACACTTTCATTAAAACCATTGTATAGAACTTAAGAGAATAAATGATTTTGTATATTGAAGCGTTATTGTAGAATTAAAGGTCGAGGAGAAAATAAAATGAAATTGTGCATTTTAAGATCCCATGTTATTCTAATGGAGAAAAAGTAAACTGTTGTAATTGGCTTGTTTATAATAATATTTTGATCAAATATCGCAAATTTATTCTCTGATACTATACTATTAACGTTTAACAAAAACAATTGTTTCCTTCCCTGTATCAGCAAACCTAGGTGCTCATTAGATGCACTGTTATTTGAACAGCGACAAATATGACATGTTCAAGTTACATTTGAGTTCAAATCCAATCAGGCAAATTAAAATTCACTTTGCAGGTTTGCTGCAGGTGAGGTATTTAATTTTGAAACTGTATAGAGCCATGCCATTGAAATGAGATTTCCACATTTATCAACAGTAAGAATTAACGAAATATGGAAATGTAAAATCTATGTTTTCTTTTAAAAAGTAAACACGATATAGTATACTATGTATAAAACACTTTGAAATGCAGTACCCTAAACGTTATGGAATACAGTAATCACTTTTAAACTCGTTTTATCATTATAACTCCCTCAATCAGTTCTATAGTACATCAGTTCATAACTGTACTTCATTCTTACTCACATGGTAGAGCGGCGACCAGCGCTGTCGACCATCGCGGTTCCAGCATTCTAACTGAATCATGACGTCATCTTTGCGGCTTTGCCAGCTGATTATAATCGTAGCGGAATTAGAGAGCGTCTCAGGCTGCTTCAAAACATATTTGCATTCAAGGCAGATGTGGTTGAATATGATGTAAACATGAGGTTCTGATCACCTGCTTCATGTAGAATGTCTTGACTAATTTAGTCTGGGAGATGTAGAATCTTGAAAATTGTTTTATTAGGCGTGCAAAACGTTTTTATTAAGTCTACTAAAAATCTTAGAGTTTTAGCTCAACAAGATGGCTATTATAATTATTATCACAACCGATTAACATAGAGAAGTAATTGAGCATATTTAAACCCAATGATAAAAGGTGAGTGTAGAATACAGTATACTAGAGGTCGTCCAGTGGTCGAAAACTTGACCAAAAATATGTAATGTACACGGATTAACTATTGGATACTGAAGTAGACACCCCATCTATATAGATCAACTGCCGCAGTTTTTTTATTAAAAACATGTAGTCGTGTGAGCCGGTCACAATGCGTGTCTAAAATTCTATTGTCTACCTTATTTTTTGTTGCTGACAAAGTTTATGGGTCATAACCGTTGCTATAACTCATAATAAGTAATTCCAAAAGTTTGAAAGTTTAAAAGTTGGTAAAAAACATCATGTATTCGACACGACAGAAATTAGTCATTTAGATCAGCGCAATCTGTTGGTAGCTCACATCAAATACGAAGAAATTAATTAGAAACTTGTGACAACTTTGAAAGGTACAGCCTATTATCACTCCATGCTGTAAATAAAACATGTGATTGTAATTTCTTACATTTGTTTTGGTTTTCTGTTTATATGTCGTTGTTAGTTCGTCACCAGAATGGCAACCCCTAAAGCCTATGTTAATTAAAAAAATTCAAATTCATTTTCGTGCTTATATTTGAGCCTATTTTAATTTTTAAAGGGATTCTGCATATCTACAGGAAAATATCTTTCTAAAGGTCGATTCACACACATCAGTGCAGTTACAGTTCCGTTACAGTCCAGTTGCAGTCCAGTTACAGTCCAGTCACAGTTACATCCGCAATTTCTCAGTCAATTGTCCGTCGTTTGGTTTCAGTCAGTCTTCCGTCTCTAAAATTCACAGTAATTTATAGTCAACATTTTAAAGTTATAAAACTAAATTCTATTAAATTATCGTTGTCCATATTGTTGATTGTTACAAACAGTACTCAAAATACAAATGCAACCATTTAAATAACAATAACACTATTTTCTAACCTCAAACAGTTCCGTCAGGCGTCCGAACAATCTAAAAGTATCGTTGGAAAGAAATCTGAAATTGACTGACGGATGACAGCAGAGTGACTGACGGGACTGCAACGGATGAGTGTAGATAGCGCAATAGAAAATCCATCAAAGAATATTTTTGTTAACTGTGACGTGCCTGAAGTGACTTCACTGTGACGTGCCGTAACTGATGTGTGTGAATCGACCTTAACAGTATGCGTAGATTTTCCCTGCGACGCACACGAGCTGAAAAAAAGGTTTTAAAGAAACATGCTTTCCTATTAATATATAGAATAGATTTTAGCTTTGTTACTGACTATTATTAGCTGTTACCAAAGCGTTTCTATTGATTGCCTGGTTATCATAGACATCAAAATAGTAAATTTCATCACTCGGGCGTAAAGTGATTTTTTTACTCGAGCTGATGTTTGACGGAAAATGACTGAGGGTTGAACAGGCATTTTTGTCGGTGTGATGAACTATATTTTTCGTCTCATTGAAATGCAGTACCCTAAACGTTATGGAATACAGTAATCACTTTTAAACTCGTTTTATCATTATAACTCCCTCAATCAAAAAAACACAATATACTATGTGTAAAACACTTTGAAATGCAGTACCCTAAACGTTATGGAATACAGTAATCACTTTTAAACTCGTTTACAGAGATTATTAATTGCATTGATTGATTAATTGAATTGATTGGTTAATTGCAGAGATTATTAAATAGTTAAGCAAACTAAGTTAGGAAACGATACTGCTTTTTATGTAAAGATAAACTCTCAGAACGACTTCCGACATGTTTTCCATTTTGCTAGTGTAAATGAGCAGCTACGTAGTAAGAGATTCAATTCTATTCTACATTGTTATAATATTATGGATTAATATCACCTTTTCCATACAAGTAATCCTGAGGACTTAAAATGTACTCGTCCGGCTTGACAACGACACCATATGGTCGTCAAAACCGGTCGCCATAGAGAATACTTCAGGATTACTTGGACAAAAAGGGTAATTTAACCTCATGTATATCTTTTGTGAAGCAATCCGGAGGGCAATACACAAAATGAATACTAGTGGATTAGTATATCTTACATGCTAGTATTTTTCATTGTCACTATTTTCTTTATTTCATTAATATTTGCACTTTAACCAACCAGAATATAAACTGTAATATTGACCATTAGAGGAAACATCAATTCAACAATAAGCAACTTAAGCGTAAGGATAAAATCTTAACTTGTTTCAAATTCTACAACAGGATGAGAATTCTACTTGCAGCATCCAAAGTCAATGTTCACTCAGTCTTACATTCTTCAAAGCCCTTGAAACACGAAACTCAGACAACCAGAGACAAAGTCGACACATTTCTCACCGAGAATAAACGTAAGTACGCTTAAAATTAACTAGTTTTGCTTTTGTAAATTATCCTGCTGTAAATCGTACTGTTCTCTTGTTTTTTAATCTTAGCTAATTTACTCATTTCATTATTTTATTTGGCCATGACCATAGTATGAAGGTTGTGATAAAAATAAAACCTGTGGTGCAGTCCATTCTATCGTTGTTTCAGTCAAAATCAGTTTTATTTAATTCTGGCCCAAAAATGGCAAAATAAATTTTGTCGAATTTTATAGTTCATAATTTTGGTCGATTGGTAATGATTTTAAATCCGTTTTTTGCATGTTAATTGTGTTATACTATTTGTTAGGTTTTTTTCAAATGTAATTGTTGCTGATTGCTATTATGTTTTGTTGATTCTTCTAGTAGGATGGGTAGTCGTTATATTCATGTTCGTTACCAATATAATATGGTTATAGAACTATATCAGTTTGCAAACATTTGTTACCTACAATCAAACGATTGAGAAAATTGAGTTTCCGTGGGAAATAAAAGAAAAGAAGGCTAGGAAAATTACACTTAGGTACAAAGGTTTCATGGCATTTATTAAATCTTGATTACTGGTTTACTTTAGTTTAATTCTAAAATTTCAACGAGTTGTCATTTTAAGCCCAGTTGCTGATTAATGTTTTCAGTTAACCATTGGTTATAATAATAGTTATGTAATCTTCTAAATCAAATAGCTACCGATAGTCGATACAGTTTCCCTATTTAGTGAGTATATACACTGTATACATATTCTAGGATGATTGAAGAAGCATTGTGTCTAAAACGGAGTAACTCTAGACCTGAATAATTTTTTTTTCTTGAGTAAAACACAGAAAAGTTCAAGATAGGACTCTAGAGTAGTGTTTGAAAAGTCTGAGTCAACTCTGATGAGCCCAACACCTACTTTACGTTTAAAGTTTACTTCTCTTGTTCAACTTTGTTGGCATTTCAAACACTTTGTCTAAAAAGTTTCATATAAAAGCATTAAACATAGGCTACTCTATGCTATAAAATACTGAATAAGAAGGATTTTATTAGAATGTGTTGTGGAATATAATATTTATTTTAATATTTAATATGTCAATGAGTTACTTTTTTCTTCGGTAACTGCGGTAAAAATTGAAACAGGATTTTTAATTTTTGTACATTCAGTATACATTTCTAACAAAGATAATTTAAGAATGGGTTACTGACTGGTGTAGATAAAATAATGAATAGATCAAAGTATTTGGGGGGATTCCTAGTCTTAGCATTGTCTTTTAACGATTTTTCTCGTCAAAAGTATATAACCAGACATTTATGAAACAACAAAAGGTATTTGTTTACAATATCATCTTTGGTGAACGACGAAGTTCTCACGTTGTTTCAAATAACACGTCTTTAAAAAATAATATAAAATAACCATCGCCAGAAAATAACTGTAAGTTTATTTTAAAGAATTGTTTTCCATCATGAGTACCTAGTAAAAACAAAATTTCACAATTTTTTTGGAATCCGAAATCTGAACACATTTCAGGTGAGAAAGCACCTTAAGCATAGCATAAATTACCACACAATCCAAGCAGGAAAATCCTAAATAACCACCCTTAGGACAGTAAAGAGCTCAAAGGTAGGATCAAAACCTCCTTAAAACAACGAATGGACAATTCGTATCAATATTTCGTATCGTCAATAGAGGGTAGTTTAGCACAATGGACACGTTCGGACGAAGTAACTAGCTCTAGTTTTAATGCCATAATTAATCATATCACTGACCATACCAGAAGTGTACTGGCACAGCCCTTGTTCCAAGACACATTCGTAAAACAAGTATCCAGTAAGTTATTGTGTATCTTTAGAAAAACACATTTTATAGGGTTAGTAGTTTATTTAGTTCCTAGGGCCGAAAATAACGTTTTCCTGGCTCGAGATCATTTTTTAATCTCGAAATTAAGTCGAGATTCTGTTTTTACTAACGTAAAAAAATCTCTGAGACTTTGAATCAAGTTAAATTCGATATTTGAGTTTTTCAGTATTTACACTTTTAGTCGGTGGACGGTGTAGGCCGTGATATATCTGGGTATACTTGTGAACCGGGCGTCCGCAGCGTGCCAACTGTGAACAGGTGTTCTCTGATGGCTCATTTGTTACTACAGCCAGTCTCTCGGTGGATGGCTCTGATGGCCCATCTCTCCGAGTTACATGGCCAAGATGATAAACAATAGAGCAAACCCCGCCACATTGGCGAGGCGGCAAATTCATCTTGAAGTACTATTATCTTTATGATTAGTTGTTGTGTTACTATAGAGAGATGGCTTGGCTCTGAAAGAAAAAGTAATCATTTCTATGTTGTT